TTTTTGCTTCTATGGAGGGACAAAAGTGATTAGTTATACATTTCTAGGGTGTCAAGAATTTCTAGATCCCCACTCATGATTAAGGGTCAGTTTGATGGCACCCAAATATTCTAATATTTTAGGATAATATAGAATCTTATGTAATTCTAATCCTATGAGTTTACCTGCCTTGTTTGGTAGGGTCAAATCATAACTTCTAATATTCAAATAACTCCCAAATATCTAAATCTCCAAATATTCAGCTTGTAGCTAAATTTTACGGGATTTGATTTCTACTATTAAAATTATTGTGTCTCTCCCTCTTTCATCTGCTTTTTTTTTTTTTTGGGTAAGTCCCTCTTTTATCCGCTCATCTCCCCCTTTTGTCCCCTCCCCCTCTCCCTTTTGTCCTCTCCCCCTCCCCCTTTATCTCTCCTCTCAACAAAGACACCGCCCCTGCCCCCTCCCTTTCTCTTTCTCAATCTCAATTTCTCTCTTATGGTGGATCGCCCTCTCAATCTCAATCTTCTCTCTTATTGTGCATCATTAAAGAAAACATAGTGAATCGCTAGAGAAAGTAACCCAACGTCTTTCTTTATAAATATGAGGGTTTCACTCTTATGCTCATTGCTCTTCGTCTATCTTTGTTGATGCTTGAATTATGAGTTTTAATAGTAGATGGAAGATAAAGTGACCTAGAAGCCAAGCTTTTTCAAGACCAACATTATAGTATTTTATATGATTTCAAGCTTTAACATGACCCATTTTAAAATGAAGGTTGAGGTGAAAAACTCAGTCGGATTTTGGTTGAGGACTAAGATCAGATAACCTAGAGGCGAAAGGCCATTGTTTCTCTTTTAAATATATGCTGGTAGTCAAACATGCACCAAAAAAATAGAATATGGATAATAGATAATAATATTAACATACGGAAAACCTAGCAAAGCCTTTATTCAAATTTTAAAAAATCTGAATTTTAAAATTCACTTTTGTCAAACATATCCTAAGATATGAAAGGATTAACTCATGATTAAAATCAGATTTCTTTATTTTCAACAACGATTAATCACCATATTGACCTGATAAATCATGTAAGGTTAATTTCAAATGTCATTTAGGTATTATTGATTATTTGTACTACATTATTAAGCCAGGGTTAAGGGGTGGACATGTATCACGAAAATAAAAAGGGCCTTAGTTCTATAGAGGTTGTAGGAGAAATTCCAACATTTAAAGGAAGAGAGAGAGAAAGAAAGAGAGAGAGATTTGACTTTGGCAAGTATAAAGAGAAATATTAAAATCAATTCTAGCATAGAAAGAGATTTTCTCGATTGCATGTAGGGCATATAACTTCTAAATTAAAAAAGGCTGAGGTGCTTAATCTCTATCTTTAAAGGAGAGAAAGATGTGAGAGAGACAAAGAGATTGTGAGACAGAGAGTACGGAGAGAGAATTTGCAATATAGTAAAACGATTTGGAGAGATAGAGAGATGAGCATGTGGGGGAATGGGGAGAGAAAATATAGGTTTCCATATTTAAGGGAGAGAGATGGGTATGTGAGAGAATGAGAAAGACAAACTCAAGGAGAAAGATAATTGAATATTTATCTTACTTTAAAATGCAAGTTCTTTCTAATTTTAGATAAAGGTGACATCTTCTTTAATAGCAAAGGAATACCAAGTGTTGGTTGAAGACATGGAGCGTGGAAGAGAGAGAGAGGGGAAAGAAAATAGGATTTGAAAAATAGAAAGAGATAGAGATTAGAATGTACAATAATGAACAAAATCTTACAATAAAATCAAGAGAGAGATGGCTATCATAGCAACAAAATCAATCATTATCTAAACATAGAATATAGTTTTTTGTATGCTAATCAGTGATAGAGAGAGATAAAGAGAGTATATTGGATTGACTTTACATGCTTTCCATCGTAACTCAAAATGATTTATTTTTTAAATTGCTCACATGATGAATTAAAGTTGTCTTTTTAAATTTTGATATAAAATATGGTGATTGTGTATTAATATTATTTTCTATATTACAGGAGGAACTGGGAACATCGAGATGGTTTCTACAATTATTTTGCATCGAGGTTCCCCAACATGTTAATCGACATATATAAATTTTCCTGCGACCATTATCGTGATAAATCCAAATTTAAAAGTATTTTGGCCCAAATCCATTATACATTTGTATTTGAAGGGTCAAAGTAGTAGAAAAAGAAAATGAGAAATGTGTGAATGCTCTGTACATGTTTGCCATTTTTTTTTTTGTTGTTGACAATAACCAGTATATGTTTGCCAATATTACCATGCAAGATTTAAAATTTTCCAACTTTGATTTGAGAAAGCGAGGGCATTCTCACACACGACTTATAATAAGACTTTGTATGTGTGAGAGAGAGTTCAGAATATTAATGTTAAGAGAGAGAGAGACTGTTAATATTGAGTGCAAGAGAGAGAGAGAGTTTGAATCAAAATATTAATGTTAAATGAGAGTTTGAATCAAATAATTTCATCAGTTTTATGTACTTTGATGTTCTTGCAAATTCTTTGCAGAAACAAGTGATAAGCAACTGAAGAGTACTGAGGATTTTTTGTAGCCTATAGAGACTGCTTTTATCCGGAGGATCATAATCAATGTCGAATTCTTCTATATGAGGTCACATCTCTAAATTATTTGTATGTTCTCTAAGATGCTATTGAAATTCTCCAAATTTCTGTTTGTTATGATTTTCTTCCCTAAGATAAATCTATTTTTGTATCTTTTCTTTCCTATTTATAACATGCAGATGTATACTTTATATAGATACGATAGGTGATGATACACATTCCATGATTGTATTAAATGTGAAAAATACGTACATGTTAGTACAATGACTTATTACAAAAGTACTTTGAAGACTATGTATTGGTTTCTGTTCTTCTATTTTCGATATTTCATTGTATCAAGAGTCATATATATATAGAGAGAGATGATGGTAACAATCTGTTTTTTGATTTTTTTTTTTTGAACTTTAACTATGAAAGATGATGGTAACAGTCTTACCACTAATGTGTGAGGGAGAGTTGAGAGGGAGTGAGTAAAAGAGGGAGTGACATGGTCGTAATGGATCATGCTCGCATCTTTTTGTTAAATTGAATGTTCTACATACAACACACGTAATCCAACTAGTTTAATAAAAAGTAAAATCACAAAATTAACATTGTCAACGGCCAGCTATCCTCTTCTAACATGCAGCTTTATATTGTGCTTCTGGTAAGAGATACCATGTTACAATAACTTTTCTCCTCTCAGTCAACAAAATCATTTTGTTTATGATCATCTTGAGGGTCCTTTGGAGTCTTTGAGTTGATAAAAGGTATTGGCACGGTTTATTTCATTAATGGGAATCCACAACTGTCCTTCAACAGTCCAACAATTAGATATGGCAATGGGTCGGGTCGGGTTGGGATCGGGTTGGACCCATACTGGACCTGAAGTCACTTGACCTAGACCCAAAAATATAATGTGGGACTTGGATCCAGACCCAACCCAAAAATTAAAATATCTATGTATTTCAATTTATTTTCATAAATTGAGAAATGTGGGACCTGAACTCGGACCCGAATAGTATTTGGGTCCAATATTTGGACCTGGACTCAGACCCGAATAGAGCTGAAGTCGGGTCTAACGGTCCGGTCCGGGTCTATTGCTATCCCTACTAATAAGCTACCAATTCTCTTACCTTCCCCCAAAAAAATGCAAACTCTCATGTTTCAAGCCCAAAACAACACTGAAGTGAATTCACTAAAATGGATGTAACAATGACATTTTCAAAAAGCACCCCTATAAAAACAGCGATAAAATATATAAAATTTCAAAATATATAACTCATAATATTCATAATTTTATAAGATATGGTTTTATATTAAAAAGTTTTACATAAACAAGTTATAAATTTTTTCTTTAGCTTCAAAGATATATCTGAAACTTCCCCCAAATCATCCAAATAACAAAAGTTCTTCCTTTTCTATCCAAAATGAAGAGCGGTCCAAAACTACCTGAATCCTGAGGACCATGATGCGCAACTCAGGTCCAGCAAATTTCAGTCATTCAATAAGTACATATACCATATCTCTGCCCTAAACTTTTGGTTTTCCACTGATTTAGACACAATTTCTATGAGTCGTACACTCATTTGTAGAAAAGGGCCCCCTCTCAAAAATTTATTTTTGAAAGGGATTTTGGACCTAAGTTTTTAAGGAATATATAATCTCTAACATAGAGATCATGAAAGTATCAACAATAAATAAAAAATAAAAATTGAAGATAATAATTTTATTAAAAAAATATTTAGACCATTGATTTTAACTTTTTTTTTAGACGGACCACCCATTTGCATCCAAAACTGGGATGCCGGCACTTTAGCTTCAAAGGAATGTGCAAAAACCATACGTGGGATTTATTTCATTCAAACACTGGTTTTTATGGAATGTTTGTAATGATCTTATACATTGGATGCCAAAGTTTCCCACCATCTTCCTCAATTGTCTTATGATTTAGAGAACTTCTTGGTGATTATTTTTCCTCACACGTGAGGTACATAAAGTGCGTGTTTGATTTCTGGAAGACGTGGTTTTGGAAGGTACTGTAGCACTTCTTTGTTTGATTACGGGAAGTGCGATACTAAAAATGGATACCTCGGTGTCCACTTTCATTCACTTTAACATTCACCAGTGGAACTTGTGGTATTCATTTCGCTAGATGACGTGGTTTCCAAGATCACGTCTTCAAGAAAACAAACATGGCGTAACACTAAATTCAAAAAAAAAAAATTTGCTAGTTCGAAGCAGAACCTTCTCCTTTTTTTGCAAGAATTAGTAGGTGGGCGATCCAATTATGAGAGATCCCAAAATCGCCGCATTCCCCATCTTTAGGAAGTTTTTTAATTTTATATTGTATCGGATTTAAAATGGGAATTACCCTGAATTAGTCGAGGTGATTCAGAATCGATCTCTTAACAATTAACCAAACAACCATACCAATATGCTGCTAAACTTTACTCAAACAACTTAGTATTAGATACATTGCAAGATAGAAACACACACTGAATATATCAATGAAAGTTCTGCATATTATCAAGTACACACATATACACACATGGAGCACTCCTAAGGAGAACCTATGCAACACTCGCCATTTTAGGCCTTTTGAGGCAGCCGCAGATCCTCTGTTTTATGGCATCAAGCAAGTTAGAAGAGGAATAGAGGCGTGAGAGTCGAAATTCGATCGAGTCGAGATACCACCCGTTCCTGCCCTTGAATCCAACAATAAGGCCCCCATCCATGGGACATGAGAATGGAGTGCCCTCCTCCACTCCGTAAGGCCCATAAGTCCTCATGTTGGTGGTGAATTTCAGAGACCGGATCACTGGGGTGCCGCCGTGCACCACCGGACAATAGTGGCCACTCACTTCTGTGATGAACTCTTCTGGATATTGAAACTTTATCTGCAGTGCCGTGAAGAGTTTGGTTTAAGATGGCATTCTTCTTGGTTGAAGCTGCTTCTCAGCATTTGCATTACAAGAATGAAACAATGTGTATGGAAGCAGAATTTGTATATGAAAAAAGATTTTCCTAGCTTGTACTGTATAGCTTTAGCCCAACGGTTCACATTCAATCTTGATGGATACAATGATTAGTGTGTATCGATAATGTTTTTTTTTTTTTTCATAATTCTTTTTAACTTGAAATTTTAGAGACAAGTGGGAATGACGTAGATGCACCAAAGAATTCAAAAATAAAAAAAGACCAACATAACCCTACTTGTTGGTAGCGGTGTACAAGTGTTATGATTTTTTGAATATTATTACTTAATTTTTTCAGTGCACATAGGTTGAGCACATGTGCTCCAAAGCTTTAGGTCCATTAGATTTATAAAAGGTAAAAATTAAATAATGTGCCAACATTATGCCCATTAAAACGGTCTACATTCATTCAATCCGAGCCTTTGGGTTGAAACCATCAAAACCGGCCCATCGGTTCATGAGTTGATTAAAGTTACTCCTAATATGTAGATTAATATTTCAATAGTGTGTATACACACACATACCTACCTATGTTCGAACATATATATATATATATATAAAAGTATTTTATTTTAAAAAAAAGACAAATTAGAGAATGTTCATGCATGTTACCAACCTAGTACACTAATGACATCTTCAATTGTCTTATTCTTATTTAGCAAATTTGATCTATCAAATTTGAAGGATCACTCATATAGTCATAACTATGAGAATTTGCCCAAAAAAGGAAGAACTATTCGTAACATGTCCCAAAATTTGGACCATGCAGTAACACTACATCTTTTTCCTGAACCCAAAGTAAATTTATCGTCATCGTCATTTTAGTTTTTTTTCAATTAATTGGGGCTGGTTACATGAATCCTGGTTCTCTATTATGTTCTATTAAAGGCCATAACCTCAGTGAGGCTATAAGTCTCTCCATTTTCTCAGATTATCGACCCAAGATATTGAAAGTGAGATCTTTTTTGTACTTTCTAGTCGTCAATCGTAACTACTTCATCGTTTCTACTCCTATTATTACTAAACTTGCACTCCATATACTATGTCTTGTTCAGTTTTACTCTATGCATGAAAACTTAGAGGAATGGTGGAGGAATCAGTGAATATGCTTACATGGGTCGTACGATTGCCTCCATCACCACCATGCTTCCCTGCCATCACCAATTTCCCATTCTTATCATACTCCACACGTATTGAGTCTATGCAACGGTCATACACAAGCGTTATCTTACACACACCATCAAAGGAGCCATCATCCCAAGGTGAGCCCCCTTGGCCACCCCATGGCCCAACTTTGATGATCTTCCTATGAACCTTTCCATGCTCCTCCACAACCTTTCCATGCTCCTCCACACCCTGCATTTCACATAATGAATCAATGTAAATAAATACATGTATTTATCAATAACTCTATCCTTGGAGCCAAAGAAATGTATAGAAAATTGACTCGGCTTAATGTACTCGATTGTTGGTCCAGCCAGGTAACTTGACTGAGTCCTCATGGAGACAGCTGAAAATCCTTCAATAAATTGGAAATATTCAAGACCTTAAGGAGCCTAAATAAGCTTACAAAATTATTAGAAAATGGATTAAAAAAACAGATTTATAATTGGGGACAATTTAAAAAATCCAACAAATGTAGGGTATAAAAATAAGGATTTATGGCAAAAAAAACACTCACCAATCTTTGTTAGAAATATACAAATTATACACACAAAAAAAAATCAGTTCCACATATTTATAGTTATTTTATTTTTTATTTTTAATATCCCCGAGTTGTATATACAACTAAGAGAAACTCGGCCTAACCCATACGAGTCAATTGGCTGAGTAAAGAAAACCCAAAGCTCAAAGTTGATGCAGGTACAAAGAAACTGAAATTCCCATTGAAGCATCGACATCTTTGCTTTCACATTGAAGTGGTTTTTAGTATGGGTGCAGTTGGCATACGGATGCATCCGTTAGAGGTAAGGTGCACCTTCAAATTTTATCATGGTGTATAATTTTGATGTAAAATGTTCATAAGGTTATCTCAAAATTTATTTTTATATCTAATTATAAAATCTATTTTTATATCTAATTATAAAATTTTAAATTTCAAAGATGGTTAAAATCAAGTAGATCTCTAAACATATGAAAATCTTGAAAATGGACGGTGTAGATAATATGTTGTAAAATGCACTATTTTTTAGACTTAAAATCTTTTTATTTTTCAGGGTCATACATCTCGACGTTGAGATGATCAATCAAAGGGTTTTTCAACATTAAAATTACCTTTTCTGTTGGATTTTTGAGGTGCATCCGTAATTCTACATTATAAGGTTGCATCCTTATATAAACTTTTTCCTTTTAGTATTATCATTCACTCAAAATTCTTAGGACACCTTTGTTTTTCTGAAATATTTATTACAGAAAGAAAGCTTTCTAATTTTTTAAAAATTCCACGTTTGATACACGGTTTCATCTAAAAGTTCAGAAAGTAATATTCCAACAAAAGTTCTCATTCATTTGTTAAAACAAGAAAGATTAAGTTTCTAAAAAAGGGAGATATGAACTTAATCTTTTATAACATTTTTGTTGATCACTATTCACTATGCATAATATAAATACATAATATTAGTATTATTATTAGAAAAAAGTTTATATAAAGTTTCAATCTTAAATATAGAATCACATATGCACCTCAAAAATCCATCGGAAAAGGTTGTTTATTGTTGAAAGCCCCTCTAACCGATCATCTCTACAATAACAGGTATGAATATAGAAAAGAAAAGATTTTGAGTCCCAAAAATAGTACATCTTGTAACACATTATCTAGACCGTCCATTATCAAGATTTTCATATGTTTATAGATCTTCTTGATTTTAAGCATTTTTGGAGTTTAAATTTTTATAATTAGATATATAAATAGATTTTGAGATAATCCTAATGAATGTTTACATCAAAATTACACGTTATGATAAAATTTGGAGGTGCGTATTAAATGGATTGTTTGAGGTTGAAACCTTAT